TTTTTTTTTAACTCTTAAACCGTGCGGCTCCCCCTCCCAAACAATGCCAGACCCTTTAGGTCTGGTAGGAATGTTAGGAGGGACCCCATTTTTAAAACAAAGCGTGGGGCTCCCCCTAAAAGTCATACCAGACCCTTTATTCTCCGGGGTCTCTGCTTTTAGAACATCTTTCGGGGATTCTTCAGGCCTAAAATGTGCAAAATAAAATTCAAAAACAGCCCCGGCAGCGAAAGGGTTAAGGGCAGCATCACAGCGGATACAATGTATTCATTTTTCGGGATGCAATGTATTCTTTACATCCTAAGAACGCAGCCGCGTGTTTCTGAGAGTGGGGCATTGTGGGAAAGAATGCAGAGCATTGAAACCAGAGAGGGGGTCAGCGTGACCAAGCGGGCCTGGAGCAATTCGGAAGGAGGTCAGGAGGGGCACGGCAGGTTTATGTGTAAAGGGCTGACTGTGCTGCATAGAAAGCTGATGAGACAGCGCCACCTGCTGGCCAAAGCTGATAGGACGCCTCCCCGGGGATTTTCATTCCCAGGTCACCAGCGCGGTGCTACTTTCTCACTTCCTTTACACGGCTCTGCTGTTGTTTTTAACAAATTTTAACAAATCTCTGCGCCTTCTCAGATCTGCCTGTAAAGAAAAGAACTGGGGCGACACTTGCGAAATAAAAAAAAAAGGTGCAAAGAGGGAGAATTGTTTATTTTTATCAATAGGCTGAGAGGTATTTAAAGGATAACTATGTACTTAAAGGTGAACCTCAGCCTCCTGTTCCCGGCTCCTCTCCTGGACAGCAATGGTTTCCTCTGATTTCACTGCACACTGTGAGCTTCTCACAATGTGCATCAGTAGCCACAGCAGGTCAGAGAGAGCCTGCCTCATTTCATGGCATCATCTCCCTCTTTCCACCCCAGCCTGACTGCCCCTTGCCCCGCCCCTTTCATTCATTGGATCTCAGTTCTGTCAATCATAAAGGCTCAGCTTCACATGGGAGCGTCACCAAGGGTGGCCTGCATGCAGATACAAGGCAGATAGAGCCTGCCTCATTTCCTGGCATCATCTAGTGCTTTCCTCCCCAGCCTGACTGTCCATGGCCCCGCCTCTTTCATTCATTGGATCTCAGTTCTGTCAATCATGGAGGCTCAGCATTAAATGTGGTTGTCACCAAGGGTGGTCTGCATGCAAATACAAGTCAGAGAGAGCCCACCTCATTTCCAGGCATCTCACTCTTTCCTCCCCAGCCTGACTGCCCCTTGCCCCGCCCCTTTTTAAAATTGGATCTCAGTTCTGTCAATCATGGAGGCGCAGCATCACATGTAGGCGTTACCTTTGCAAATGCAGCCTACCTGGGAACGCCCACTCCTCCAGACTGACACCCACCCATCAAGTAATTTTGCTATTTGCATAACTCCTCCTAAGAGGCGGCCCACTGCCTGCATCAGAACTGATGGTTCTTGAGAGACGCACTGAGGCAGGGTGCTGTGATGTGTTCAGGAAGCTATATACAGCACCCTGCTGGCTCCTCCCACCAGCCTGCATTGCACAGAGAAGCACAGGGGCCCAGTAATTTATAAGTAGCCTGAGGTCACCTGACCCTCTGAAAGTGCAGACTGGTGACCGTTCATTGTTCCTAAGCCCCGCCCCGTGCCAACCTCCGAGGAGCTCTGTGACATTCCCAATGTTGGTATGTGATAAGAATATGAAGGATCGGACTGTGGCCCCCGATATCCCATGTTTCTGACCCTTCTCTGCTGTCTCTGATCTGGCAGGAAGCGTATTCCGTGGCGCGTCAGTTCAATCTCATCCCTCCGGTGTGCGAGCAAGCCGAATATCACCTCTTCCAGCGGGAGAAGGTGGAGACCCAAATGCCGGAGCTGTATCATAAGATCGGTGAGTACTTACCTCTGTGTACCGGGGAGAGAGATGGCCGGGTCCATATACTGTGCTACAAAGGGACACACTCTGGGCTGGCCGGGTCCATATACTGTGCTATAAAGGGACACACTCTGGGCTGGGCGAGTCCATATACTGTGCTACAAAGGGACACACTCTGAGCAGGGCGAGTCCATATACTGTGCTATGAGTGACACACTCTGGGCTGGCCGGGTCCATATACTGTGCTATAAAGGGACATACTCTGGGCTGGCTGGGTCCACATACTGTGCTATAAAGGGACACACTCTGGGCTGGCCGGGTCCATATACTGTGCTATAAAGGGACACACTCTGGGCTGGGCGAGTTCATATACTGTGCTATAAAGGGACACACTCTAGGTGAATCCATATACTGTGCTATGTGACATACTCTGGGCTGGCTGGGTCCATATACTGTGCTTTGGGTGCCATGCTCTCTACTTCCCCACCCCATATACTGTGCTATAAGTGGCATACTCCGAACTGGCCTTCTCCATATAATGTGACATACCCCGGACTGCTCCACTCTGTACCTTTTGCGGGATGTGACATACTCCAGACTGGCTCACTATATACACTGTGCAGTATGTTACACTCACTCTGAAGGTGTGATGTACGTTATATACTCCACATGCAGAGATGTAATAGTAGGTATGCAATGGTAGAATATTCCCACACACTCCAGGTGAGCCTTGGTCAGGACACTGGGGTGGAGGAGAGCAGAGTGACTGATACAAATGATCTCCCATCCATGATATCTGCAGCTCTGGAATACATTGCTGAGGGTTCTGCTGAGGAGACCTCACACTTCAATGTTCTCTTCCAGGTGTGGGCTCCATGACGTGGTCTCCACTGGCCTGCGGACTGATCACCGGGAAATACGCCGACACCATCCCCGAAAAATCCAGAGCTTCTTGCAAGGTAACTGGATGGACGTGGGCTGTATGGATGTGGGCTGGATGGACGTGGGCTGGATGGAGGTGGGCTGGAAGGACCTGGGCTGGATGGACCTGGGCTGGATGGAGGTGGGCTGTATGGACACTGGCTGTATGGACACTGGCTGGATGGACACTGGCTGGATGGACACTGGCTGCATGGACACTGGCTGGATGGACACGTGCTGGATGGACACGTGCTGGATGGACACGTGCTGGATGGACACGTGCTGGATGGACACTGGCTGGATGGACACTGGCTGTATGGACACGGGCTGGATGGACACGGGCTGGATGGACGTGGGCTGGATGGACGTGGGCTGGATGGACACGTGCTGGATGGACGTAGGCTGGATGGATGGACGTGGGTTGGATGGACACGGGCTGGATGGACCCGGGCTGGATGGACACGGGCTGGATGGACATGGAGGGTTGTACATTATATAAGCAGTGTGACTAGGAGAGAAGAGACAATCACGGTGGTGGCCTGGCACACCAATGCCAGGGAGATCCCAACAAGCCAGTTCTATTGGTTTATGTTTGTTCATTATTTACTCCGACTTCTAACATTCAATGGAAACAGAGAACTCAGATCCATACATTTCTATGAGAAGAATCTAGGAATGCACCGATACCAATTATTCTAGACCGAGTACGAGTACTGATACTTCTCCTCAAGTACTAACCAATACCAATTACCGATACTTCTCCTCAAGTACTAACCGATACCAATTACCGATACTTCTCCACAAGTACTCCCCGATACCAATTACCGATACTTCTCCTCAAGTACTAACCGATACCAATTACCGATACTTCTCCTCACGTACTCCCCGATACCAATTACTGATACTTCTCCTCAAGTACTCCCCGATACCAATTACCGATACTTCTCCTCAAGTACTTCCCGATACCAATTACTGAGACCTTATTTTCAGTGTCATGTGACAATCATTCTAAAACAATACAGACATATTTAGGACAGTGGTGGAGCACCAGGGCCCAGTCACAGCTACAACTGCTGCTCCCCTGGTAGTTCTGCCACTGACTCCAAGCTGTAGAGGGACTACAAATCCCAGCAATACATTATAGAGCAATGCAGAATAATACCATCAGCTATAGAGGACTACAAATCTGAGAGGGTCTCAGGAGGGGTGCGGAGGGTCTCAGGAGGGGTGCGGGGGGTCTCTCGAGGGGTGCGGAGGGTCTCGGGAGGGGTGTGGAGGGTCTCACCAGGGGTGTAGAGCATCTCAGGAGGGGTGCGGAGGGTCTCAGGAGGGATCCGGAGGGTCTTGGGAGGGGTGTGGAGGGTCTAAGCAGGGGTGTGGAATGTCTCAGGAGGTGTGCGGAGGGTCTGAGTAGAGGTGTGGAGGGTCTCAGGAGGGGTGCGGAGAGTCTCAGAAGGGTTGTGGATGGGTTCAGAAGCTCTCAAGAGGGGGAGATGTGCGGGCCGGTGGAAGTGCTGTTAACAGTTGCCTTGCGGTTCCCAAGAAGGCTCCTGGTGGTCCCCAACAAGTGCGGGGACCTAAGGCAGCCGAATCAGTTTGAACATGTAAAGCAGTGTTATTGGTTTTTGGTATCGGGGCATTGTTATGAGTACGAACAATTGAGAGAATTCCCGGTGTTGGCACCGATACGGATACTGGTATCAGCCATCCCTACAAGAGGCCACACATTGCTATCAGTGTCCTCCTTTAGGGACATATCACGTAGAGGCCAGGGGTTCTTAAAGTGTATGTAAACCCCAATAATGAACTTCTCTTATTAGCTCCCTATGTATGGAAAAGAGGAGGTGGTGGTGTTCTGTAGTCCCAACACACATCTAGGGCATCCCCTGGGCCTCCAGGTTGCCTTCTGGATGATCCATTAGCCCGGTCTGACTACAATAGTGTCCATTCCTTCTCCCTTGGTGGCAGCCCTGGCATTGATGTATTTTTGTTCAGGGATACCACTGGCTGAAAGAGAAGGCTGGGAGCGAGGAAGGCAAGAAGCAGCACTCCAAGGTAAAAGAGCTCCACCCCATCGCCGAGCGTCTCAACTGCACCGTCACCCAGCTGGCTATCGGTAAGAGAGTGGTCCTACGGGTTCACCTTCTTGTCCTTGTGCTTCCTATTATATGTCATGACCGGACTCTCTGTTTTGCCAGCATGGTGCCTGCGCAGCGAGGGGGTGAGTTCTGTGCTGTTGGGCGTCTCCACTTGTGACCAGTTTATCGAGAATCTGGGATCCATTCAGGTAAGACCACTTAAAGCAGAACTCCGGCCTCCCCTTCAGACCCCAGCCTCCCCTTCAGACCCCAGCCTCCCCTTCAGACCCCAGCCTCCCCTTCAGACCCCACCTTCCCCTTCAGACCCCACCTTCCCCTTCAGACCCCAGCCTGACCTTCAGACCCCAGCCTCCCCTTCAGACCCCAGCCTCCCCTTCAGACCCCAGCCTCCCCTTCAGACCCCACCCTCCCCTTCAGACCCCAGCCTCCCCTTCAGACCCCAGCCTGACCTTCAGACCCCAGCCTCCCCTTCAGACCCCACCCTCCCCTTCAGACCCCAGCCTCCCCTTCAGACCCCAGCCTGACCTTCAGACCCCAGCCTCCCCTTCAGACCCCAGCCTCCCCTTCAGACCCCAGCCTCCCCTTCAGACCCCACCCTCCTCTTCAGACCTTCAGGTTTATGTTAGGGTTATGGGGGGGTTAGTGTTAGGATGAGGGTTGTGGAGAACGGCAGATTTAGTTTTAGAGGATTATTGTTACACCAAGGACCAGTGTCAGGTTTACAGGCAAGGTTCCATGAGTGGAGGGGGGGTGAGGTTTTCTTGGGATCACCTCGGGTAAGGTGAGTGTTAGTGTCTCCAAAACAGGGTTAAGAAATCTGCTTTAGGGGGGCCGGAGTCTGAAAGGAATTCACACAAATATACAACGTGAAATGGTCAGAAGGCCAGGGATCGGTCGGCTGGGCCTGAGATCGAGACGTCCATCTACCATAAGACCAGAGATTCTCTCATTGACTCAATGCTGGTTGGCGTTCACCGAAGCTCCAGACCCGACTACCAGAGACGACATTTATACTTTGTCTCTACGTTTCAGGTTCTGTCCCAGCTGACGCCACAGATCATAACTGAGATCGACCAAATCCTCGGCAACAAGCCCAACATAAAGAAAGACTCGCGTGCATGAGGAGCTCCTCGGCACACCCTGGAACCGCCGCGTGTTCTCCGAGGCATGGGGGGCGAAGGACACATTACGCTCACCTCGTGCATGGTTCCCCCACTCTGGCAGCGCTGAGAGAGCGGGAGAACATTCAACCAGCAATAAGGGGAGGAAAAATCAGCTGCCTGCTTAGTTCTCTGTGGTCAGTACATGCATTACTCCACGACAACCTGCAAGGGGAGGGGCAAAGGATTGAAGACGTATCTAGCAAAGCGGAGAAAAGGACATCAATGATTGGTCAAGGTTTAGTATGAGCGGGACTAACAGAGTCCCTATCTATTGTATCTTCATGGCTCTTCTCTGAATCACAGCGACATATCAGTTTTGGGTGATCACAGCTGGGCTGAATTACCCTCTAGAATAAATCTCATGGGGACTCTGGTGGCAAGATCTCAACACCCGGGTTCCCATCTCCATTCACCCTTCACGGCCTTTACACAAGGTACTAAATATAGCCATAGCTCCCTTCTCTCTGTGTCACCCTGCAGGAGGAGGACAGACTCATAGCTCCCTTCTGTCTGTATCACCCTGCAGGAGGAGGACAGACTCATAGCTCCCTTCTGTCTGTATCACCCTGCAGGAGGAGGATATTCTCTGCCAGCTTAGTAGGGATGGCACAAAGTCTGCAACATCCCATTATGCCTTCATGTTGGTTTTCTGTGGTTACACATCCCTAACCTCGGTGAGTACGGCATAAAGTGGACCTGTCTGTTCATATAACTACAAAAGATACACACATCGGACATGGATCTCTAAAATGCATGTTCACAACTCCAGCATCAGGAGCTGCATTAAAACCTGCGATGCTTGTCATTAAACTGTGTCATTGGTGGGTATGAAGATCTAACCGCAGCTAATGCCATCAACAAATAATAGGGAGAAGTCTGGGAAGCCGATTCAACAATCAATGTTCATTATTCTGGGTACATGAAAGGAACGGAAGCTGAAATCTTATTTGTCGCTCTGGGTTAGTGTGTTTTGCATATAGGGTTGTCACTTGGCCCTGGTGCCATACCATAATTTCAACAACAGTCATCCCATAAGATGGTACTGTATGTGAGGTTATTGGATTTCATGCATGTGTTGTACCTGTAAAAGCCTCCTGTGTGTACACCAGGGATGAGGTTAGGTTTGGACAGAAGCCATTCTTAGCCTGATCACCTCTGAACCTGGAAATTAGTCCACCTGACCAATCAGCTGCGGGTCGGTGCATTCCCCACACCCCTCAGTTGTACATAAACACAGAGGGATGGGATGTTTGTGGTGACTTGTTCTACCCTATATGGCCCGATGGCCATATTAGATCATTGTCATTGACCAAATGGCCAAACAAGGTGATTGTAGACACTGCATCCCTTCCCTTTGCTGAAGGTGGGGAATTGCCCAGCTGCAACAGAATGGGCGGCAGCCGAAGGAACCTTCTTTGGGTTCAGAGGAGCTCCGATTGAGCCTGGTCCAAGAGTCTGAGACTGCTGTTGGGCACCACCATCTTGGGTGTGATGTCAGCAGCCCCAGCAGACTCCCAACTGTCACTCGAATGACCCGCAATAGTATTCCCCATCGCTCCTTCCTCGGCAGCTACATAAATGTTGATTTAGGAGGCAAGGGGGGGTGGGGGACAGAAGATCTTTGCGGTAATTAGACACTCCCAGAAGAGGATAGGACTCTGATAATTAAAGGAGAACTATGAGGTGAGTGATTTTCACTCATCCTCATAGTTCGAGCCGACATGTGACAATGAAACTGTCACACGTCGGCTCAATAGATCGGGAAGTGAGCGAACACATACCGGCGTTCGCTCACTTCTCGTTCCTGTCTCTGAAAAGTCCTGTGACTGTCACTCACGGCTCCCAGCAGGGATTCCCCCCCTTCCCGCTCCTCCAGCGCTGACTGGAGGAACGGACGGGGGAGTGTACAGCTGGATCTGCCTCTAGATAGGCGGAGCCAGCTGTCACTCACGCAGCTGGGCGGATCCAGACAGCAGTAGCCCGCCATATACTTAGCTTTGGGTCACGGAAAGGACGCTAGTTTATGTCCCCCGGTGACCCTGAGGAGAACTATGGGGAAAAGCACTTACCCCATAGTTCTCCTTTAAGAAAGGAGGGGGCTGTGCTAGGAAATTGACTCTTCCTTGAGTGTCAACTCCCTATTAAGTTCAGAGGCACAACGAAAGTCATTAAACGTAATTATGGAATGGAAAAATCCTGCGAGTAAGTCTTTAAAATACTCTGTTCCTCCGTGCTTTTACCTGAAATTCTTGAAGTTGGTGAGAAGACTTCCTTCAGAAGACTTGCTGGTAAAAATAGGACTTTTTTTCCAAAGTTGTTCAGAGGAAATAAAGCGTAAAACTGAAATTTTTCGCTGAAAAGGTGGCAAACTCATCTGCATATCTTCAGCGCCGGTAACCTTCATTTTGTGACTAAGGAGAGAGCAAAGGACGTCTCATATATTTACAGCGAAAGCATTTGCAGATCAAATACCTTTTGCCTCAGGCCCTGCAACCCCGAGTCAGATTATAAGGAAACCTCCACTAACACGAAGTAACAAGGACGTGGAATTGTACGATCCGCTTTGTAGCCCCTTCCCTAGACACAGGCCTCGGGGTACATCTACCTGCTCTGTAGTCTCGGAATGCTGCTGATTTCAAATCATTTGCATGATTAGCCTCAGGTCAATTAGAGGGAACGTCTCGTAGAGGGAGGATTCAGGGTAAGCAAACTGTTTACATGATTAAGTCTTAAGGGTAAAACTCCGGCAAATACAATTTATTTTAGGGAGAAGGTGATGGGGGGAGCGGGGACTGTAAGAAAAAATATATGCGTACTTTTTGGCCAATATGTCTCTGAAGGTTCTCCTGTATGCAAGTCATGGTAAAGCTAGTAGGAGTTGTTCACATTGAGCTGGACTTGTTCTGTAATGTTGAAGGTCTGTGAAGGTTCTCCTTTATCCAGGTCATAGTGTAGCTAGTAGTAGTTGTTAACATTGAGCTAGACTTGCTCTATAATGTTGAAGGTCTGTGAAGGTTCTCCTTTATCCAGGTCATGGTATAGGTAGTAGTAGTTGGTCCCATTCAACTGGACCTGTTCTGTAATGTTGAAGGCCTGTAAAGGTTCTCATTGATACAGGTCATGGTATAGCTACTAGTGGTGTTCACATTCAGCTGGACTTGTCCTATAATGTTGAAGGCCTGTAAAGGTTCTCATTGATACAGGTCATGGTATAGCTACTAGTGGTGTTCACATTCAGCTGGACTTGTCCTATAATGTTGAAGGCCTGTAAAGGTTCTCATTGATACAGGTCATGGTATAGCTACTAGTGGTGTTCACATTCAGCTGGACTTGTCCTATAATGTTGAAGGCCTGTAAAGGTTCTCCTTTATCCAGGTTATGGTATAGCTAGTGGTGGTCACATTAAACTGGACTTGTCCTATGATGTTGAAGGTCTGTGAAGGCTCTCCTTTATCCAGGTCATAGTGTAGCTAGTAGTAGTTGTTCACATTGAGCTGGACTTGTCCTATAATGTTGAAGGCCTGTAAAGGTTCCCCTGTATCCAGGTTATGGTATAGCTAGTGGTGGTCACATTAAACTGGACTTGTCCTATGATGTTGAAGGTCTGTGAAGGCTCTCCTTTATCCAGGTCATAGTGTAGCTAGTAGTAGTTGTTCACATTGAGCTGGACTTGTCCTATAATGTTGAAGGCCTGTAAAGGTTCCCCTGTATCCAGGTTATGGTATAGCTAGTGGTGGTCACATTCAACTGGACTTGTCCTATAATGTTGAAGGCCTGTAAAGGTTCTCATTGATCCAGGTCATGGTATAGCTACTAGTGGTTATTCATATTCAGCTGGACTTGTTCTGTAATGACATTTTGTGGTTTATCCAAGACACTTCTTCAGTTCTAATGACAGTCAGGAAGAGACCCCGGAATTTATATACACACAGATGGCAAAGACACATTAAACCAATTACCATGGAATGCGTCAAGGCAAATGTTGATTGTCCGAGAAGGCTGATGTTGATTGTCCAAAAACAGGATGGGAGGTGTGAAAGTTGCGGAACCCCCTGTTCTAGTGACACAATCCCATCCTTGTTCTAGTTATGCAGACGTCCCAACACCAAGGATCCCGTTCTTGGACAAGCAACATCTACACGATCTGTGGTGATTGGATTATGGTGTCTGTGCTACCTCTGTGGATATAAATGCTCAGGCATGTTCCTGAGACTCATCAGAGCTGAAGATGTGGTTTGGATAAGCTATGTAATGCCTTCAACAATACAGAACAAGTCCAGTTGAATATGACTACTACTAGCTACACCATGACCTGGATCAATGAGAACCTTCAGAGGCCTTCAACATCGTAGGACAAGTCCAGTTCAATGTGACGACCACTAGCTATACCATGACCTGGATCAATGAGAAATAGGGATGCACCGATACAGATACTAGTATCGGTATCGGTACCGATACATAGTATTTGTGCGAGTACTCGTACTCGCCTGAATGCTCCAATACTTATCCCGATACCGGAACTTCCGATCACAAGGACATTTCCTTGTGATCGTGACTGGCAGTATCGCGAGGGAACATGGAGCCGGCTTCCCGGCCAATCAGGAAGCCAGGTTGTGGGCAATGACTCGTGGCCTGGCTTCCTAATTGGCCAGGAAGCCGACTGCATGCTCTTTGGCTGGCTCGATGCTGATTGGCTGGGAAGCCGGCTCGATCGATGCTGGTTGGCTGGGATGCCGCCTTACCAGCTAATCAGCATGGAGCTGGCCAAACAGGCATGGAGCCGGCTTCCGATTATCAGGAAGCCAGGCAGCGGATAATGACCTGCTGCCTGGCTTCCTGATTGCCCGGGAAGCCGGCTTCATGCTACTGGAAGTGCCGGTATCGGTACTCGGTATCGGCGAGTACCGAAATATAAATATCGGTACTGAATACGGAAAAACTGGTATCAGTGCATCTCTAATGAGAACCTTCACAGACCTTCAACATCGTAGTATAAGTCCAGCTGTATGTGACCAACTACTACTACCTATACCATGACCTGGACCAATGGGAACCTTCACTGACCTTCAACATTACAGAACCGCTCCAGCTGAATGTGACTCTTACTTGGTATATATATTTTTTTTCTATTATTGAGACAGATATAAGAAAACACAACAAAAGATATATTTGAACAGGCCAAAAGGGAGCAAATAATTGTCTGTACCACAAAGATTTCCCCATCGCCCCCCTACCAAAGAAAATCAT